AATTTTATATATATATATATATATATATATATATATATAGTAAAGATAATAAATTCGTTGATATATAATCCAAGTGGATACTAGTAATGTAAAATATTAAAACTGATGCACAAAAAGAGCTCAATGTATTATTACAAAGCAAAAATTAATAAACAATAAAATTCCAAATCACCTCATATGGGGAATCAGCTTATTTCGACTGCTGAAAAATAATAGTCTTATTCAACCCTGGCATAGACTGGGTTTGTGTGGAAATTAAGAACACTTTAAAAAAAAAAAAAAAAAAAAGGTAAAATGATTCAACATACAACCCCCCCATTTAAAAAAAAGAAAAAGGTATATATATATATATATATATATATATATATATATACTCACCCTCTCAGCCATATATATATATATATATATATATTTTTTATACATGCAAATATATATGTATATATATATATATATATATATATATATATATATATATATATATATATATATATCATTAACACATGGAAAAACTATATAAATTTGATTGGTCTGTTCATTAACACAGGAAAAAAACTTGCCATATTTTCTACTCCCTGATCTTGCAACAACAACTGATTACTGCCTTTTTGGATCACTGAAAAATGCTCTGATAGGAAGAAACTTTTACTAAAGAAAACCAGATGCAAGAGTTTATTGAAAATTTTTCCCCATCAAAATCTGTCATTTTATTCAAATGGTATCAAAAAGCTGAGTGTTAAGTGGCAATAAGTCATTGCAAATAATGGTAAATAAATGTGATTCCATTTATGAAGAATAAAATTTGATAAACAAAAACGGAAATTATTTGTGCATCAACCTAAGAGTTATTCTCATCCTTATTTAGAAATCAATTCAGATAATTTATTTTGAAACAGCCTGTTCTGTTGCAGGAATTTTTAAATGCATTTTTTTTTTCTTTTTTACTTCCTGGCATTGTGCTCTGTTTTTAGACTCAGTCCTGCATGCAAGATGTTTTCTATGAAATTCTCACTCACATCTGGTGTTTGCAATGGTTTGTTTGGTTTTGTTTAATGGCATATCAACACCTCAATGGGTTATTTAATGCCAACAAGAATTTTACAATAGATTTATATGAATCGAATATAGAATATGTGTTCTTTGTAAGAAATCAGTTTGTAGATCAGATTTCATTGATGTATTTTTGTAAAGAAGATTTTTGTCGAGAGTATTGTTGGTAATAATTTTTTTTTTTCAAAATTATATTGTTAGTATTTTTACTATAAAAACCTATTTTTACACTTTCATAGTGTTTTGATACCAGTTTGTGGGTTAACTATTTGCTTATAGCTGGGACCCTAACAGGTGCTACCACCCTACGTCAAGGTGGACCTGGGAACAACAGCAATTAAGAGGAGGTTCCATGCTCCTCAAAACTTCCCAATCAGAGACCTTGCTGCCGATTGCAGATCACTATGTCCAGGACGCCTCATTGCAGTGGGGAGGTGCAATTGGCATATTCAGAAGTCCCAGCCGTCATGACGGGTGTTTTCAATAAATGCTTGGAAAGCATTATACTGTTTGGCATTTCAAGGAATCAAGATAAACCTTTCCAAAATAAAAGCTCTGCAGCAAAGATTGGAAGTTTTGAGGAACGTGGAAGCACCCCTTAATTGCTGTTGATCCCAGATCCAACCTGAACTCTGGTGGTAGTGCCTGTTATGGTCAAATAGTGACACCCTCTCCCCCCAACAAATAACAAAACACTATGAAAATACATTTTTATAGTAAAAATACCAGCAATACATTTAAAAGAAAAAAAGACCAATAATATATATTAAAATGACCAACAATACATTTTATCTGTAGTTGAAGTCATACAATTATGTTCAAAATATTTAGTTTTCAGCATTAAATAACCCATAGAGGAGTTGATATGTTGTCAAACAAAATCAATCAACCAACCAACTAAAATGAAAAAAAAATGATCTGGAATTGGAATGTAAACACTGATGGTGCATAAATAAATATGCTGGATGAAGAATTAGTAAATACTAAACACTTCAAATACCTATCTGTATGAATTGGTTACAATAAATTTAGTATAGGAGATAAAGTACTTGAACATAGTATAAGCTGTACTAGGAGAAGTTTCAGTGCTGCAAATTGCTACAAAACATTAACCTAAAAACTCGGTCATATTAACCTCGCCAGATTGAAATTTTCATATACATATACACTGTGTCAAACGCTTTCAGAAATATTTAAACTGTATATGTACTGACGATGAGGCGGGATATGTTGATGACATAGGTATTCATAGTTGGGATAAAAATGATTGTGAATAAAAAAAATAATTGGTAGCACCTACCAAGTGTTCCGAAAAAAATAAGATTCTATAAACCTTTCCAAAACGGAAACTATGATCTGGAATTAGAATGAAAGCCGTGATGGTACCTACCCTGAATCCATCATTACAGTATTTGAAATTAGTAAATACTAAACACTTCAAATATCTTTGTGCATGGAGCAGTTCCAACAAATTTGGTATACGAGATAAGGAAATTGAATATAGAATAGGTTGTACTGGAGGTAGTTTTACACAATGCCACAAGCTTCTACAAAACTAAAAAAATTAACCTAACATCGCTAGTCATTTTTTTTTTTTTACACTATTTATATTTGGATTATTGTCGTCATCTTTGTTGTTATTATCACAACATTTTGGCTGTTGTGCTCTCCGGCCTTCATCAGGTGTATATCAATTTGGGTAACATACAGGGGATTCTGGACCAACCTCTTCATTTAACTTTTAGGGGTAGACCATTCTCGCTCCTCCGTCCATGTCTAGGGACATTGTTTAATTCTTTATTTATTACTTATTTTTCAGTATTGCTTACCAAATCCATATAGTGTAAATAATAACTTCTCATCTCAGAAACTCAAGTCATGTTCTTAAATTTACCATGTCAGATTGAGACTATTATATAGATGCTATGTATGATACCAACCAAACTCCTTCAGCTATATACAACCATATTCTCAGATTGCTGGTTAAAAATGGCTCGGAGCGAGTGAAGTGTGTAGGCATCAGTGAAGATTATCCTTCATTGAACTTCATAACTTGGCGCTACAGAATCACAAGCAAAGAACTATATGAGATACCAAAGCCACATCACTTGAAGACTACCAACAGTAGAAAGAACTAAAATGGATAGCACATTTAAGTTGAAGAGAAAAGAATGACAAATTCCAGCCAACAGTAACACTGGCTGCTCAGTCAATGAATGTCGAATATTTACTTAAGGAAACTAATTAATAATTATTTTTGTAAAAGAAAGAAAAAAAATTGTAACTATAGTACCTTTGTTATCAGAATCTTTAAGTAACATTAATGTTGTATATATTGCTACTTAACAGTTGTTTAGCATATTGTTTTAGTAGTCAAACTATGTGATTTTATAATTTATGTTTATCTATATTCGCTTAAATTTTTTCCAATTAGTTAAAAAAAAAAAATGGTGGATGTAATTTTAAGTCTAAGGGGGAGATTACTCTTTCTTAAAAATTTCTAAATTACTTCCCTTAATAGATTTTTTTTTTTTTTCCATATTCTCTGTATTATGAGTGAAAAGCAAGAAGCTGGAAAAGAGTCCCATAATCGACAAGAAAATATTAGAGAACTTATTGTTATATCTAGCCATTTCAACATTATTAAGGAGAGAAACAATAAAAGAACAGGAATTAAGATGAAGAAAGATAACCAATGACATTGTATTTAAATTTTTGAAGATCAAAGTTAACTGGAAAGCAAGAAACTAGAAAAGTTCCACAAGTGAGAAGAAAATATTGGTATAGAACTTACGGTTATATCTGCTCATTTCAACTGTAAAATGATGAAAACTTGCTGCAAATTTAGTACTGTACTTAAATTCATGAAGTTTAGATACCATAGAGGAAAGTTTGTCAAATTTGATCTTTCAAAAATTTAAATGCAATGTCAATTGTGCGCTCATGAGCTTTAAAAATTTTTAAATCTTTTGCAATCATTTCAGGTGCGTTTTGATGCCGATCCTTCTGCAGAATTGGTTGATATTCTTTCATACCTCTTATCTACGCATTTAAATATTGAGTGTGCATCAAAAACTGTTCCTGATCTTACACCTGGATTACTTCTGGCAAAATCAAAGGTGAGTTTTTTTTTTTTTTTTTTTATTAAACTTTGTTTAGTTTGGAAAGTGTTCAAGTGAACAGCCTTCCCTAAGTTTCACCAATTCTAATCTTCATGGCTAAGACCTGCCAAGCCATGCCTATTGTAATGACCCACCCTCATACCTTTCATAATCCATTGGTGAGATGTAAGTTTCACTTGAACATCTTTGTGGAACTGATTCCCAATCTTAGCCTGTTCAAGTATAGCGTTAGCTTTTATCTTCTCCACATATTCTCATAAACTGTGCCTGTTACCTCTTACTTTATAACACTCTGTTGTGAGTGGCTCTTGGGTGAATATTATTGTAAAAAAAAAAAAAGAAAAAAAAAGAGGTCTTGCAGAAGACCTTGATGATGGGTGTCAACAATATACCACATTTTATGGAATAAAAAATGCTAGAGTCACATTTGAAAGATTTTTACTGAGCAAAAATTCAATCTGATACTTTAAAATATAAATTTTAATCAATTCTTTTCTTTATCGTGTCAAAGAATCCATTTTTTTTTTTTTTTTTTTTTTTTTTTGTCGGAGCACTTTCTAAATATTTTTGTCTTAGTGAATTATTTAATTTTTTTTTTTTTTTTTTTTTTTTTTTTTTTGGTGGGGGCAGTCTTGTTATGTTGAGCAACTAATGCGTTTAATGTGTAAAAGATCCCTTTTGTGTTCATATAATCTTTTAAATCCCTTGAGATTTCTCCTATGCATTCCTTGTAGCAATTGATGCAGGTAATAAGGTACATTCCTTCTTCGGATTTTAGCTTATTATTAAGTCCTTTATTGTTTTAGATTAGTTGTGGCAATTTTTATATTAGGTTTAGATAAATCCTTTTCAATTGTAGTTATGATACATTTAGTGGGTCAAACAATTTTTCAGAAAGACTGCTTTTCTATTTAGAAATATTTTATGAGCCTTTTGTTTTGCATTGAATTTCAAATAGGTCATTGGAGGAGCCTGAAAGGATTTTCAATGTATTCTTCTTCATGTAAATACATATGGCTGCAAATTCTGGATGCTCTTAAGTAGAATATAATGATTATTCTGGATTTTATTTTGTTGTTATGGTGAGAATAGAAATTTATGAGATCATTTTTATTAGTTGATTTTCAGTGAACACTAAGTTTTAAGCTACAGTTAATGTGGAGTAGCATGATATCTAGGAAAGGTAAAGTATTGTTTGTTTTCATTACATCTGTATATTCTATTGTGTGTTTGACTTTGTTTAGCTTATCTACAAGATCAGGTAAATCTGTATCATTTACACAAGATTGTTAGATGGGGTTACTAGTTCTTTCCCATTGCCCATTTTGCCTACAATATGTCTTTATAGTATCAAATTCTCCAAGCTTCTTTCCTCATAATGTGTCCTAGAAATTTCAACTGTGTTTCTGATTCTAAATATAAGCATCTTTTTCATTTCCATTTTACTTAAAACTTCCTCATTACTCATGTTCAGTCTATGGTCTTCTTAACATTCATCTGTAGAACTACAGGGTGTCCATAAAGTCTTTGTAATATAAAAAAAATTATTGCAAAAGCAAATGAACAGACAAATATGTAGAAATTGTTACAAAATTGAGGAATAGACTACATTTGACAGCAAGGCCTCTGATCATGAGGTTTTGAGGAATGTAGAACAACCTCTTAATTGCTGGTGTTTCCAGGTCTACCTTGATCCGGGGTGGTAGCACCTGTTAGGGTCCCAGTTATGGGCAAATAGTTAACCCCACTAACTGGTGTCAAAATGTTATAAAAGTATAAAAATCAGTTTTAATACCAGCCATACATTTTTGTAGATAATTATTACCAGCAATGAATTTTTGAAGAAAAAAATTATTACCAGCAATATATTATTAAAGAAAAAAATTATTACCAGCAATATATTATTAAAGAAAAAAAATTATTACCAGCAATACATTATTAAAGGAAAAAAAAATATTACCAGCAATAAAAATCTTGTCGGCATTAAATAACCCAATAAGGTTGATATGCCATAAACCAAATCAGATATTGAAGTTCCTTAATTAATTTAATACACCTCTATATGGGCACTATTAGTTGTATGAAGCACATCAGATGGTACTTTATTTTTTTGCCATGTTTGCTATAGCATAGCCTCATCAATGGTGGCAATGGAATCGGTGACCTTTTACTTTAGATCAGTGATGACCTTGATATTTATTCGATACATGATATCTGGTGAACGAGATGACCAGAGAATTTGGCCATCCCTTCCAATCCACTGGTTGTTTAGTTGTGGTGCCACATAAATTGCTTTTGTAATATTTTTTTTTTAAATTCTAAAGAGACTTTATTGCTACCCTGTTCATTTATATTACCTCGCATCACTTCTACTGTAGCAGTATGTTTTTGTTGATTTAAATCTTTGCTGCGGAATATATTTACCAATCTCCCCACAAGATAAGATGTGGCACAATGCCGAGTTTTTAAGTGGGGAAATCTGAGCCCGTAGGCTTGGCCAAAAATTCCCGTATAAAACAGGGTCTGTTTCCAGAGACGAGACTCAGCCCTTCAACATAGCCTTGTCTGGGGATCCCGTCTGTCCGAAGGTAGAGAGTTTGACCAGCACGCAGCTGGAAAAGATTCCATCTGGACTCCGTTCTAACCCTGGAAGCCAGAGTTGAATCTTTGCTGGGGAATGACAGCAAAACATTTTCCTCTCCCCTTTTATAGATAGAAGTCCACAAATGCATGCTGGGATATTTTTCTTAGGCAAAATGACTGCAGTTTAATATGACTGTTGTGTGTTGGTGCCAATCTTTAGTTTGTGAACTTTTTTGTTTTCTTACTTGTTAATTGGCCTTGCATATGTTGTTTGCTTGCTTGCTTGATATTATTTCATTTTTGCCCTGTTCCTTTCTTCTTTTTATTGCAAACTTTGTTAATTCTCTTTGTTAGACAATTATTTATTTTGCATTTGATAATAGCTACCCACTCAAGTTTTAATTTTTTCTTTTTTTTTTTTACTACAGTGACATAAGAAATAGAAAAGCTCATTTGTGACACTTTTGAAATATTAACATGTTTGTTGCTTCTTCATTTTTAGAAATTGAAGAAGTTGCTTCTGAGGAATTTATCCAAGCGGCTAAAAGATGGTACATTAAATTCTTCAGAAGTCTCCCTCAAGTTTGTTCACAGCCTGAAAGAAATCAAGACCCCAGCGAGCAGTAGTATTTTACCAGTGATCACCCACAACAGCAGTGAGGAAGAAGAGAGTTACAATCCCAAATATTTTAAAGCTGACATGTACTGGACAAATTTGCACTCGACTGTGTTGGGAACGGTTGTCTTATACGTGGATGTTGTTCCAACAACAATGAATCTCCTTAATCAGTATGTATCTCCTTGGTGTTCAGTTAATGGCTATTGAGCCTAGCTTGGGTGACAATTACTACTGAATAGCAAGTTTGATCCTCACTGGGTGCCTCCCTTATATAAGGGCTGACATGTAAACGATCAACCAATATTTTTTTTTTTTTTTTTTTTACATATATACACTACAGTTCAAAAGTATGAGAACATCCTTGGTAATTTTTTAAATTGGTCCAAAAAGTAGTTGTTTTGTACTTTAAGTCAGAGAAAATTATTATACATGGTTTAAAAAAGTGAGACATTTTTTTTTTTTTTTTTTAGAAATTTTATTATGACAAAAAGAAGACATCATTTTATGATTAAATTTTGCTCTCGTCAATATAACCTCCTTTAGCCTTGATTACTGAAGCACAAATTTTTGTCATCGGTTGCAAAAGTTTATCAAAGTATAAGTTTGATAATTGATTCCATTCTTTTTTCATTGACTCTGAGAGCTTTTTTTTTTATATATTTTTTATATTATTTTGAAAGTTCATCTCATGCTAATTTTGGGGGTTCAAACTTTTGAACTGTAGTGTGTGTGTGTGTATATATATATATATATATATATATATATATATATATATATATATATATATATATATATTATAAGTAACTGATTTAAAAATATGGTTTCATTGCTACAAGAATTACCATGTTTCAAAAAAAATCACTTCACATTCAATTAAATTAAAACATTAGTTCTGTTTCATCTTCAAGCGAATTTTGGAACCAAAATTCGCTTGAAGATGAAACAGAACTAATGCTTTTAATTTAATTGAATTTGAAGTTTTTACTTTGTTTTTGAAACATGGTAATTCCTGTATAGCGATTAAACCATATTTTTAAATCAGTTAATTTATGATATTTATGGTCTGTAAATTTACATTGAGCACTGTTTTATAAAAATATTAATAAGAACACCGGATTATATATCTTACTGTTTTTCCTTTTTTTTTTTTTAATTTTTTTTTATTATAAAATATATATATATATATTAGACATATCTCCTTCAATAAATTTTCTCTTTCTTTAATAAGGATACTAAGAAGCTTGTCCATGTATATGAGAGGAGCCTATTGAAAATAAGTAGACAAAACTTGACTAAATTATTCAATGAGGCATGCCAATAAAAGCATGCTGCCAAAATATACGATATATAATTTTGTGATAAAAATATACTTTTAGGGTATGCTATATTTATAGATTAAATTGTTCAATGTCAGGAAGAGAGTGTATGTAAATATAAAATTGGACATTGAGGTCAACACCAGGCAGGGACAGTCTGTTTCATGCTTCAACACAACCTTCAGGACATGAACATTGCATTGGAGTATGAAACATTTTGGCTGGGGATCAGTTGTGAATTCAAATTCCCATTGAAACTCCTAGTGTTACCACGTCCTTGGATCTGGTGTTAAAAGCAGCCCCCAATTTTCAATAGGGAATGAGAGGGACAATCTGATTATGAGATATCAACAAAATAAATGAATGAATGAAGAAATAAGAAATTTGTGTGTTCTTGAGAAAATGTGTTGCAAAGATGCATGTAAAGTTAAGACAAATGACCCATCTTAAAATAAAAAAAAATAAAAAATATATTATTTTCTCTATTTGTTTTTAAAGAATGGTATTAACGACACCAAAGTCTGTTGGTCTCATTGCCATTGCTGGACGACAAACCAGTGGAAAAGGTAAGAAATTTTTGTATGCATTTTGGAGGGTGGTATAAAAAATGATGCATTGACCTGCATTATGTAGACTAGTATCTTAATCTTTACTATTTTGGTTGCAATAGACCAGCAGGTCTATTGATCAGCCTTCTTCAGGTGTATGTTCCATCAGATGTCTAGTTTAAAAATGTCCAATATTCAAAGTTGAAGTATTATGTATGAATTAGACAAACTCTTATTTTTTTAAAAATTGTGAAAACAATGTTTTGATTAGTTGATTCTCCATTCTTCTTCAGGTGTATGTAACATTTACTCATCTTTTCTTTTTTTTTTTTTTTTTTTTTTTTTTTACCTTGGCAAAATTTTCTTGTTCAGAGTAGAATGAAAACATTAAAAAAAATTTGTTCAAAAATTCAATAAAACAGCTTTAATCAAGAGTTGCTTCCCTTGAATTAAAATAATCTTAAAACTTCTGCTCAGCAGGGTACAAGACAATCATATGTTAAATGCATTTATTTTTTGTTATTTGACAAAAAGAATTCATGTATTTATTGAATTATTTCAAGATTATTTTCTGCTCCTATTATATTTTTTGTTTGCAAATTCCCCTGTAATATGTTGCAATCTAGGGAAGGTTACTGAATAGAATAATCACACGAAGGTTGGTAATGAACGATAATACTTAGGACAAGAAAAACCCATATAAGATTCGCCAGTGGTGCATAAAAGTAGTAGTCAACTGCTAGAAGTGAGTCAAGTGAATTCCACAATGAATCTTCAACTGCTGACCAACATACAGTATTCACTATTGTATTTATGCAAATGGGGGCATGCCCATTATTGTTCATAGGCATGTTGTAACAATGTAGAAGCTTTGTGGTTGTAATTTGCAAGCTATATATTGTCATGGTTATTTTTTGGGTAGAATAGTTTTCTGTTGTCTTCTCCACAGTAATTTTTATCAAGATACTACTAATTAGATGGCTGTTGATTTTTGAAGTTCATTTGTCCCTTTGAAATATTTTTTTCCTACTTGGTTGTTAATCAGCTTCAATAATACTTCTATATAGATAAGGTAACCTGTTTATTTGTCAAGCATTCGACAAAAAAACAAAATGATGAATTGCACTATATAAATCCTGATAGGAAACTATAAAGAGCTAGCTATAATGGTTCATGTCTCTTCAGGACATGGCACACAGAGCAACTGAAACTCTGGAGTTTTGTTGGCCTTTCCATATTTCTCCTTGGATTGAATATTATTATAAATGAAATATGAGAAATCAGATTTGGCCAACATTCTTATATCATAATTGCCATTATCCTATAGTTTATAAAAACAATGGCAAACTTTGACCCTTCATGTTTGCAAAAAAAAAAAGTATCAAATTGACGGTTTATCCATTGACATTGCTATTATTTTAAGTACCTTCACGCCTTGGCAATTCCCAGGAAGGTTGTTTTTAAGATGTATCAGCACAGAAATTAATTCTGGGCAGATGGCTTTATAAAAAAAAAACCTGATTGGCAAAATGACATAAATTGTACAGGGACAAAGGTGGGAACATAAGTGACACCTTAATTGGTTAAAAAGTAGATTCACCGATTTTAAAAAATCTCCAAAATGAGGTAACAATGGAAACTCCGTATGACACGTTTAATATACCCACGCCATGAGAAATTGTTGAACCAAGGGTTTATGGCAAAAGGAAAAAAAATGCCAACAGAATTTCTAAATATTGAACCGAAGCTGAAGAAGTATAGACTCCAGGGAAAGTCATCTCAAAGGGGAGGTGTTATATAGGAATAAAGTGTCGCTCCCGACACTGGAGTTTGAACACAGATCACCAGAGAGCAATCAGAGGAGATGCCATTTTGAATAAGTAGATCATGTGATGGTAAAGGAAATGTATATATGGGAATTAGCATGGTGTCTAAGTGATCACTATACTGATTACTATTTGAATCGCTATTTAGTGGTTACTTTTCAAGCAAATATTATTGAGCAAGTACTATTAGTGTGAATGTTATTCGAAGGTGTCTGACACCATTATCATTCAAAGGCATTACTATAGATGTATCTGCAATTACAAAGTCTCTAGTACAACAAGCATTACAAAAGCGACAATGAGTATTTGTTGACATTACAAAAGTGACGAGTGGTCGCTGACATTACAAAAGCGGCAAAAGATGAGGACAATAGTCCGAATAATGCAAAAAATGTAAAACAAATACGTTAATTCTTTAGAAATTGCAATATGTTTAAAATTTTCTATATTTGTAAGGCAAGAGTGCATAGTGACTGTCACAATGAAACTGGCAGGTACTGTCTCTCATATGGTGTTGGTTCAAATGTCCACAATATTTATAAAAATTCTGTTTCAGATAGTGAGCACACTTTCCTTATAAATTTTTAAGTAAAATATATCTTTTAATAGATTTATATTACCCTCAATATGTAGGTCAATATCTGAAAAGTCTGAAGATAAATCATTGAACTTATTAATCTGTTCACACAAACACACACGTATATATTATTTATTTGAAAATTATAACATAAATATGTTATAAAATCACTAGAAAAATAGCCATTTTGTTTCAACACTTCTGATGTCTTATCAAGTGATGGTGTTGGTATTGAGCACTCTTTTAAGAATAGTATTTGGTGGTTATTTGAATTTACTCCATATACACCAATCCTATACTTGGAGATATATAATAAACAATAAAATCCCAAATCACCTGATATGGGAAAATAGGCTATTTCAGTAGACGAAGATATTGGTCATCTGTCTTATCAACCCCGGTGTGGACTGTGGTCATGTCAGAAATTTAACTGTGAAAGTTAAAAAAGGTCGAAAAACCAATACAAAATTTATCCATTTTAATGTTTCAGTCAACGGAAAGGCTTGAGACAGGGGGCAGGGGAGGGTGGAAGATATTTGTCTTAAAGGGAAGAAGTTTTATAAAAAAGTTTTACATAAATGGATTTATTTTACGGTATGCTTTGCCCTGTACAAGGCCTGCGAGCCATTTGAGGTAGAGGGTTACATTAAGGGGTACTTTATAGTAAGAGAAGATAACAGTTAACTTTAGATGTAAATAGGTTAAGATTGTAGTGATCAGGGAACCATCCTCTTGGGAGTCTGTTCCACAGGAAGAAGCTGTTCAAGTGGAACTTCTCGCCAATAGCATACAAAGGGAATGTGGATGGGGTTCCCTAGAATGTGAGTGGCATGGCTGGTCCTAACTGTGAAGGTTAGATCTGGTGGGACCAAGGAATGTAGTTTGTCTGAGCACTTTCCATGGTAGTAGTGATAGAACAGTGAAAGACTCTCCACCTCCCACCTGTGAGAGAGAGATTGGAAGGTAGAAAGTCCTTCTTCTTCAACAAGGACTTTGAGATGCTTTTGAACTCTGGAAAGTGGGGTCTGGGCAGCTCCCACCCAAATAACAATATTTACTCACTTTCATTTATTAAATATGAAATTACATCATTTAGCATCTTCCATAGTTTACCTTGACTTTCAGTTAGCCAGATGTATATTTATGAGCATTCTTAAATTTAGTCTTTCCTGCTATTTACCCATAGCTGGAGGGGAAGAAGAGTTGGAGCCATGCCTTTTTTGAGTGTATTTAAATGTCACAAACTCAACTGGAATTCAGATTTCTCTAATTCCTCAATCCAAAGCGCTATCTATTAATCCACTGTGTCTCCACGTGATATGATAAATATAATTTGTGAATTTGTTTGTTGTATTTGTTTTTATTAGAAGTATTTACAATAACATATTTGGTAGTGTCAAATGATTGGTTAAATGTCTGTGTTGGTTTCATATCTTAACATTTTACTTTTTTTATTTTTATTTTATGCAATATTTTATCAAATGCTGTCCTTATCCATGAAAACACATTACATCTAGCTTCCAATCCTGAAAAAAAAAAAAAATAATGGATGCACTCTGTATTAAGCAAAGTGAAGATTGTTCCTCATGTTTGGTTTGGTTTATTTTGTTTTACGGCATATCAACCTCAATGGGTTATTTAATGCCGACAACATTTTTAGGATAGATTCGTATGAATAGAATATGTATTCTTAGATTTAGATTGATTTGGTTTATTTTGTTTTATGGCATATATATGTTTATATTCTTCCCCCCTCCCCATTAGAGATTTGCAAAAAACCAACATAGTTTACAAATTCAAGTGCTCTGTACGAGATTGTATCTCCAATGGATTAAATAATATTTATATTGGTCACACCACAAACTCACTTTCACAATGCTTGACTCTACATTTGAATGATAACTCTAACATTTTTAGGCATTTAAAACAACATGCCTGACTGCATACACAATTCCGATAAATCTTTGTTGAAAACACAACTATACTTAAATATGAAAACAATAAACAAAAAATAAAAATTCTTGAAGCTATATACATAAAACAGTTGAAACCTAACCTGAACAAAATAAACTACGAAATCGCCACAAATATTCTTAAATGCCTATAATTGATAACAGAAGCCATTGATTTATACCAACGGCTTCCCATACTTAATACTTCTCGTTTTCACTCTTGCGTGGTCATGTGTGACGTCATGAGCTGCAACACGATTTTCGCTTCCGTGTCTCGTATACATGAGTTAGTCATTGCTTTGAAATTTTTCATGCAACAAAAACAGACTATCATTATTGTTTCGTCCGTGTATTGTTTGATATATTGAAATGTAATTGTCATTTTTGATAATGGCTTATGTAAGCCGAAAGCTTAGATAGGATTTAAACATGTATCAATATGGTGATTTCCTTTCGTCTTTCAATAATAATGTTATTAAGCTTATCAGACAATAAGAAAGGAACTTACTTAAAATAAATAGATAAAACTTGTTTATATTATTTAATGAAGCATGCATCAATATATATATATATATATCTATATATATATATATATTTATATATATATATATATATATATATCTGTATATCTTTGTAAAATACTTATACTAAAGAACAATGTATAGGCTTGTGCCACTTACACCCCTGAAGAGATGATCTTGGAAGAAGATCGAAAGCACTTGTGTAATTAAAATAAAAGAAATTTAAACAGCTATACCACATTTCTCTGATCCTTTAACATCAATACACGGAAGGTTATTTGTGAGTATGAATGGCTTTTATTAAAAATTAGCAGACATAATGTCTGTAATTTATTCAATCAGACATGCCTAAAAGAGAATTTGCTGCCTAAATACAAAAATATATCTTGAGATTCTCAACAAAATGCAAATGAGGGTCTGTAATGTTATTAGTCTTGACCTGGCATCTCGACTTCAGTCACTTTCCCATCACTTTGACATGGCTTTCCTCAGCCTTTTCTATAAATATTTTCATTGCAATTGTTCTGAGCGCCCATCCCCCCCCTGCCTTGGAACCTCGAGTGCATGAATTTAAAGCATACTACCAGATATCACCATGTTACTGTTCAACTAGTTAGATGTAACTGTGTTCTATTCTGATAGTTTCTTTTCTCTCACTTCTTGTCTTTGGAATTATCTTTTTCTTGATTCCCCGTCACCTACGATCTTCAAAAATTTAGATGCAGTGTAAGTCATCGTCTACTATCTTTATGAAGCCTGTTCTTTTATTGTCTTTTCTCCTTGCTAAAATATTCTCATTGTTTTTTTTTTTTTTTTTTTTTATATTCTCAGTGACTTCTTGTGTCTTTGTAGCATTATTGCCTTGTTTGGCGTTAAATGGTTAAAAAAAAAAAAAAATTGACCAAACAATTTCTTTTGTTGTTGTTAGAATCTCCTCTCTCTTGGTCTGATTGGGAACTTTTCAGCACCCTCTTGTATATCATTTCTATCAAACTGAAATTTTCAATCATGCTGTGTTGCTTTTAAGGTTTACATAGTGAGGATTTAGATTCATAATAAATATGAATTAATAGTCACTTCCTTTAACTCTAAGTAAAAATTTGTTTAAATCACGCAAACCTACCTTTGAAAAAGCCTTTTTGTAACCCCTGTTCAGAGCGGTCAGTGTTAACTTTACAATAACTACTTGGGGGGTGGGGGGTGGCTGAAATTGTTTTGGGGATCCTAATTAATTGTTGGCAATTTATTTTGGTAAATCCAGTTTTGATAAAGAAAAGAAACACTTGACAAAATAATAAAAATACTTCTTTCTCTGTCCCAAAATAGTTGTTACGTTTACATTCAAATTTCATACATAAAATGTAACAAATATTATGAGACAGAAGTAACATTTCAGACTTACAAAAGAGACCATAAAGAGATGCCTAAAGCTATGTGTCCTTTATTTGATGTCAGTGCACCATAAATTCTGTCTTTCATTTTATTTGCACGTAGGTCGAGGAGGTAACCAGTGGTTGAGTCCAATTGGATGCGCAATGTTCACGATGCATATCAAAATTGATCGCTATTCCAACCTTGGACAGAATCCAGCATATCTCCAACATATCATCACTGTTGCAGTTGTACAAAGTGTCCGCACATTGCCGGGATATGAGGTAGGGTCAATTTAATAAATTTCACTCCTGTTTTATTTTTGTGGTTTCATCTTAACTTCTTTATTTATTTCTTTGTTGTCAGAATTTCCTAAAAGGTCAATTGTTTTTCCTGTTCTCATGTTTGGATTTAATCCCTGCTGGTCAGATTCAATTTTATGTTTCTGCCTAACAGCTCCTCCTTAGTAAAATATTGATTTCCTAAGCCACATCATCATGTTCTTTTCACAATCATATCTTTCAAATTATTTTTTAAATAAAACAGAAAAATGGCATGTTACATGAATAAAATGTTATTTTGATTTATGTTGCAAATTGTAGAATTGAATGGATTAGAGTTTGAAGGGAGTTTTAGAATGGCATTGTTTGGATGGGGATAGTTTTGGAATGCTAAGTCAGTGTTTTGTCAGAATGTAAAAAATTTTTTGTCTAGGAAGTTTCCATGAAAATAAGTGTTAATATACAGTTGGCAACAAGGGGGTATAGTTATACCAGACTTAAATGTATATAAGTAAACAATTATTTGACACTTGTGTGGTATTTTTAGTGGGAGGGGGAAGTATTAGAATAATTTGTCTTCTCTGCTGTTTTTCTTTCTGGTGAAAGAACTATCATTATAAGAGTTATATCAGACCAAAAATGGAGTATTGCTGCCATATTTGAGCTATAGCTGTCTTGTCATCATTTTCAAGCCTTGATTGTGTTCAAAAACATTTAGACAGCCTTGTAGGTGTTGAATTAATTTCCACTCTACAAGGCCTTTGCCACACACCAAACATTGCAAGTCTGTTGCTACACTCATAGTAAATGTTCTGATGCACTACATTCCTTAGTTTCACCAGATTCCATATCTTTACAGCTAAGACCTGCCATGCCATTCTCATTTCCTTCAATAATACATGCACACACTCCTCCTGGGTATGACGATAAACTACATCCATGTCCTGGATAAGACGATAAACTATGTCCAGCAGCAAGGCCTCTGTTCAGGAGGTTTTGAGGAGCATGGAACCACCTCTTAATTGCTGAACTCAGTCCACACCGGGGTTGATAAGACAGACAACCGATATCTTTGTCTACCAAAATAGGCTATTCCCCATATGAGGTGATTTTTGGAGTTTTATTGTTCATTAATTATATTGCTCTCCCTTAATAAATGTATCGAGCTCCTTTTGTGGATCATTTAATATTTTATATTAATAGGATCCACTTGGATTATATACCATTGGATTAGTTACCTTTACTATATATATATATATATATATATATATATATATATATATATATATATATATATATAATTACACACAAACATGAGGACCATCCTGGGTAAGACGTTAAACTGCATCATTGTCCTGGGTAAGACGATAAACTATATCCAGCGGTAAGGCCTCTGATCAGGAGGTTTTGAGGAGTGTGGAACCACCTCTTAATTGCTAGTGTTCCCAGGTGGTGGCACCTGTTGGGGTCCAAGCTATGGGCAAATAGTTAACCCCTAAACTGGGGTAAAAACACTATAAAAGTGTAAAAATAGGTTTTAATACCAGAAATACTTTGTAAAAAAATTATTACCAGCAATAAATTTTTGAAGAAAGAAAAACTATTACCAGCAATACATTTTTGAAAAAATATTACCAACAAAGTTTATAAAAAATAGACTATTACCAGCAATACATATTTGAAGGAAAATATTACCAGAAATAGATTTTTGATAAAACAAAATATTACCAGCAATAAAAAATTTTTTGGCATTAAATAACCCATTGAAGTTGATATGCCGTAAAACAAACCAAACTAAACATATATACACACACACACACACACACACACACACACATACACACACACACACATTTCAGTTTAGTCATTTATATTATGTCGCCTTGAGTGAGTTGAAAGTGATTCTATCAAACATGAGAACACTAAAATTAAAAACCATTTGCATAACTACACAGAGAACAATCCTTGAAAACAAATATAGCATCTTTTGAAATGTATCTGCATGTAAACCAAACTTGTGTTCTTCAAAAATTCTTGTGGGTATACATACATATTCAAATAATTATTTTTTGTGGTAGGTACAAAAATAAACATTTTAAAGATTATATATTAAGATTATGTATATATTTTCTTAACTGATACATTTTGTCTTCTGAGTGACCTTAATCAGCACCAAAAAGACTCCAAATTCTGGAATCTCTTGTAATAAAAGAGAAGCAGCCAACCTTGAATACAGTGTCTTTCTCCATAGAAGAGCATATATTGAAGTGTGTTTAAAATACATACATACAAATTTCAGTTTGACCAAAATATCATGTGACAGTATTTGGGCTAAAAAAAATTATATAAAATAAAAGTTAATATGAATTTTAGCAAATTTACTGATAACACAAAACAACTTATTTGGAAATTTGAAAGAGTTAATGAAAAAATCTGAAATTGAAATCAGAACTTGTCCATATTATTCAACAAAACATTTTTGAGAGAATTCTTGTTTCCAAAATACACCTTTTAATTACAACTTTTAATTACAACATAATTTTTCTTAGAGCTTCATTCACCTGGCAAATAATATAAAGCTTGGAAAAATTTATAAATTTTTTGTCATATTGCAAGAGTTATATGGCTTCTATTATAATTTATAAGTATTTAGCCTATATTTTTTCACACTCAGTGACCCCTTCCATCAATTTATTACCATGCTTGGGGTGAAATGATTAAAAAAAGTTTAAGGCCATATCACATTTAAACACCAGTTCTTGTACTAAAGTTAAGCAACATTGAGTTAGTCAGTACTTAGATGGGTGACCACTTGGGGATAGCAGGTGCTGTAAGCTTCAATGTGCGGTGGTTGTAATGGACATTGACTCAGAATTTGAAATTGGAGAGCAGAGTTTCAATTCCAGTTGGGTTCTTTATATTCATTTACAGCCAAATATCCCTTGGAAAAGTATAAATACATCTCTTATGCCTCTCCAGCTATGGGTTAATTAGTAGGACTTGTATCAGTAAATCATTATCTCCAAAACATTCTTAGAATCTAAAAATATTTTCTGACTTGAAATAACTTGCAAAAGGTTGATAATCCATAAAAGGTAAATAAATCAATTGAAGAAAAAGAATATTTTCCGAAATAGGCCATACAGTAAGTGTACAAATATTTCCATGAAACTGTCATTGGTCTCCTAAAAATTGAAAGCAGCTAATAATGTGAGACAAAGTATAATGTAAACATATGAATTGTTTTTAATTTGCAGAGATGCACCATGGAATTTCTAGAGGTCCTTCAAGTAACAATAACTGTGTCATAATCATCTTCAGTGAATAAATACTTTTTAATTTAGATATGTATTGTTTCAATTTTAATCAGGATGTGTGATAGCTGTTGTTACTCACAATTAACCTGAGGTGTTGATTGGAAATTTTATTTTTATATAATGATATTTCAACACTGAAAATAGAAGATAATAAACAAAATTCTTAGCATACCATGTTTTTTTATTTTTTTTTATTTTAAGAAATGTAAAAATTTGACTCGAATGCAAATGATTTGTACAGAGAAGGCAATTTGAATGTTTTTTTTTTTTTTTTTTAAAGTTTTGCACTTGCCACTGAATGCTGGGCGACTCTCAAGTTGAGGTTGATTGGGATCAAATGAAGACATTAGTTTTATCCAAAGAAAGTTTTGCTGCTTATATAGTGGGATTAGAATGGAGTTGTCTGCTGTGAATTTAACTAGATATTTTGGTGTGCACTTTATGTACTTATGATTAAAAAATGTTTTTCTCTTTAGGATTTTGACCTACGGGTGAAATGGCCAAATGACCTGTACTTTGGTAAAAGTTCTAAACTTGGTGGAGTATTAGTCAATAGTTCTGTCACATCTTCTGCAATAGATGCCATTGTTGGTAAGTCATTTTTTATTTTAAACTTTTACATCGTTGTGCTTATGGTTGTTTATGTTATCATGTTTTTAAAATAAGTTCCTTGTCTAAATATGGTGACTCTAAAAAAAAAAAAAAAAAAAAAAAAAGGCTTGTGTGTGTTGGATTTTGTTGTTCAATGCATTTATCATGTTCTATTTTACTTTGTTTTTTTTTTTTTTTTAAATGAAACGGTTTCAATTAATAGATTAAATTTTAAGTTCTCAGAAGTTTTGTAATCATTTTCCCCCCTCAGATTTTTGAGATCGCTGTTTTTAAATTATTTTGATCTAAATCTCTCTGCATGTGTTTTAAACTGAAATCTCTTCTTGGAAATTTCTGAAAGTAAAAGGTGTTTATCCATTCTTGTCTTTAAAGAATTTATATTCCTTAATTCTAATTTCTTAATTAGAATTAAAAAAAAAACTATTATTCCTTAATTCTTGGTTATTTTCAATTTATATTCCATAATTCCATTAAATTTGCACATTTTAAAAAAATGTGACAAATTTGAAAACCCTTCCATATTTACCTTAAAATTGTCACATGAAATTTTTACTAAATAATTTAATATAAAGATGGAAAATATCAATAAAAAATATTGGCAAAGTTGGATCTTAGTGCCCACAAAAAAAGTGTGAAAAGGACGGTTTTCCCTTTATACCACTATTATTTAAACTACATTCCATCTTTGGCAATGTTTTATCGTTTTAAAGAGTGGTGATTAGAATTGTAACAAAACCTAAACATGTGACAAAAGAAGTTAATTTTACATTTTTTTTTCTTCTCAGGAACTGACAACAAAAATATTAAACCATATTTCTTTAAAAGAATAATTTTATATTTACCAGATTATAAAATATGCGAACCAACTCTAATGCAATATTTTTTATTTACCATATTATCCAAGAAAAGTTCAGGTGACTTATTTTGATTCCAAATTATTTACCATATTATCCAAGAAAAGTTCAGGTGACTTATTTTGATTCCAAATTATTTACCATATTATCCAAGAAAAGTTCAGGTGACTTATTTTGATTCCAAATTATTTACCATATTATCCAAGAAAAGTTCAGGTGACTTATTTTGATTCCAAATTATTTACCATATTATCCAAGAAAAGTTCAGGTGATTCCAAATTATTTTATTATCCAAGAAAAGTTCAGGTGACTTATTTTGATTTTATTTACCATATTATCCAAGAAAAGTTCAAATTCCAAATTCAGAAAAGTTGACTTATTTTGATTCCAAATTATTTACCATATTATCCAAGAAAAGTTCAGGTGACTTATTTTGATTCCAAATTATTTACCATATTATCCAAGAAAAGTTCAGGTGACTTATTTTGATTCCAAATTATTTACCATATTATCCAAGAAAAGTTCAGGTGACTTATTTTGATTTTGATTCCTTATTTTGAAAATTATTTACCATATTATCCAAGAAAAGTTCAGGTGATTATTTTGATTCCAAATTATTTACCATATTATCCAAGAAAAGTTCAGGTGACTTATTTTGATTCCAAATTATTTACCATATTATAAAGAAATAATGAAAACAATTTTTTAGTCATAAATGCATAAAAATTTCTTTGAGCAAAAGAACAAAATTTTAATAAACACATAACAAATAAGTAATAAATTTTGCCAAAATGCCTTTTCTACACATTTCTTCCATTTGCTCTTGTCATATAAACTCATAATTTGAGAGCATCTGGATTTATACATTTTTTTTTTCTCATGAACTGACAACAAAAATGTTAAGCAATATTTATTTATTAGATTGTTTTCAAAAGCTATTTTTATAATTTTAATAAAACCCAAACCTTTTTTCTTTCCAGAATTAACAAAAATATTAAACACTATTTATTTAATAGATTGTTTATTTAGAAGAATAATTTGGAAAAGAAGTTTTTTATTCATAAATTTATAAAACTGCCTGTAAAAGAAAAGCAAGAAAATTTAAATAAACACATAATTACGAGTAACTATGATTTATTTAATTTTGTAAAATGCATTTTCCAGATATTCTACATTTTTTTTCTCAGACTGTTATTGTCTTTTTTAATTTTCCTTTTTATCAGGCAAAGTTTATCAGTTCATCATAAAATGGGCAATTATTTTTGTTATTTTTTCTCTATATTTCTGAGACGAGGTATTATGTACATTATTTACATTATTCGGACTATTGTCCTCATTTTTGTCGCCACATTTATTACGTTTTGACTGTTGTATGCTCCGGCCTTCTCCAGGTAGTTGGAATGCCTTTATCCACTGTGCCATGTGTCCTTGAGGATGAAGGCGTTAGTTAGATCTAGTGACAGGACCCAAAGAGTGTGAGTTCAATACCCAGCTAAGGCAGTGGAGAACTTTCAGAGGGAAATTAACAGGAGATAACTGATAACTGACATCCATTAAACATGGCATGTGGAACTAGAACAGCCTATCACAGTGAGCGAAATAAAGGGTTCAGTTCGACATTCCAACTACCTGAAGAAGGCCAGAGTGTACAACAGCCGAAACATAATAAATATGGCGACAAAGATGAGGACAATAGTTCGAATAATGTAAATAATGCAATTCTTTTTATTTAAATCTTTTTGTTCTGTAGCTCTTTTTTTCTTCTTTTTTCTTTTTCTTTTCTTTTCTTTTCTTTTCTTTTCTCTTTTCTTTTTTTTCTTTTCTTTTCTTTTCTTTTCTTTTTCTTTTCTTTTCTTTTCTTTTTCTTTTTTTTTTCTTTTCTTTTTTTTCTTTTCTTTTTTCTTTTTTTTTTTTCTTTTCTTTTTTTTTTCTTTTCTTTTTTTTCTTTTTTTAAATCATTTCGCCCTAACTAAGGCCATAAAGCCACTACAAAACAGAGGTTTACTGATTAAAAAAAAAAAAGAAATGAAAAGGCAGTCAATCTAGGGCAAGGAAAACCCTGATTTTAAATGTCCGCAGCCTTGTGGTTATTTCCAAAGATAGAAAAGGCTATGGAAGTAAATTCAAACAGAAATGTAATGCCTTGTATTCCATTGAATCTTATGAATACGGCCATGTAGTCTAAGACTGAATTTTGACCAAACAGGTTGCAACAAAAATATTAAACACTATTTATTTAGTAGATTATGGTTTTACAAGAATAATTTGATAACGTTCTAAAAACTATTATTAAAACTAATGTTGAAACAATACTTTTTGAATGTTAAATTAAACTAATAGAAAAAATAATTGTACAATTACAGCTATCAATTGATCCTCTGTCTTGTCCCAATTTGATAAACAAAAACAAAGAATTAAATTCATTTTGAATGCATACAGGTATATTTAAATCTGCTTTCATGTCATGATTCTCAAATAGCCCCTGATAAGTAATTCCAGCTCTATGCTTGGATTTTAAACCTCCACTGCTTTGCAGTCATATTCAAAACATTGAAAAGGTTATGGAAGTAAATCCAGACAGAAAACCCATGCCCTAAGGGTGGTTGGCTGTTAACACTGTAACTTCTGCATCCAAGCTGTCCCCAAATGTAATGCTCAATACGCTTCTGAATCTTGTTGGTAGAGCTAAGAGGGGAGGGCATGTAGTCTGTTCAGTGCATCCATATACCGCCACACAGGCCTGCATAATGGAGAGGTCACTCCAATTTTACCACCAAAGGACTGAATTTTGACCAGACAGGGTACTGCCTTTATCTCATGAGATAAATAGATGCCTACTAAAATATATCTTAGTTTACATATTGATTTTTTTCATCATCATACTAATAGCTTAAACATGGGCTGATATTTCTGCTATGTCATCAGAAGAGTCAACTGCATGCAGATGAACATTTTGTTGATCTTTATATCTTGGTCTTTTCTGGAGATACAAGAAAGTGTCGTATATCGAACACACAGATTGCATTTTAGATATGTGGATTGTCAGTATCAAGAAAAGTTACATGGTGAATAAAATAATAATAAAAAAAAACATTTGAGTTTAGAACTATATAAGCAGTTAAATGTTTAGCAATCTAGAAAATATAAATTTTCTAAAAGTCCCCAAATATTGTTAAGCTATGATTGGCTAAAGGCTGACAAAAGTTTTTTTTTTAATTCATTTTTTTTTTTTTTTATATTTCAATAGATATTGATTACTGATAGATATTTAAATACAAAATATTCAAGGTTTAAGTGCTTTTGGATTTCATTAGTCATTATTAAAATTTTTTTTTTTTTTTTTTTTTGCTATGTCAGTTTCCTCATTTTCAGTTATGGTATTTTCACGTGACAGTGATAACTTGATACTTTCCTTTTTCGTTATTTTTTTTATTGATGAAATATATTTAGTATATTTTTATCTGAATTTCTTGGATGAGGAGTTATCATTATTTACATCATTGTCCTCATCTTTCTTGTTGGTATCACAATGTTTTGGTCTTTCTGCCTTCATCAGGTGTATGTTGATCCAGGTAACTTATATGGAATTCAGAATTTCAGCTTTGAATTGCCTGTAGGTTACTTGGATTGACATATACCTGATGGAGGCCAGAGGGCAAAACAGCCGAAACTTTGTGAAAACAACAAAGATAATGACAATAGTCTGTAAATAGTACAAATATTATATTTGTTCTTAAATTCAATAATATTTTATTGATGTTGCATTGATTGTTTTTTCCTCTGCTTTTAATATGTGAATTTGTTTTTTTGATATATAATCATGGGTATTAAGAAATAGAACACAAAAAATTGAAAGCAAAATTGGCAATGTTGGTGATTTTTATATATATATATATATATATATATATGTGTGTGTATGTATAAAGTGTGTACATTCAGATCAATATCTGCCAGTTTCATGCTTCAAGCAATCTTCAGGATATATATATATATATATATATATATAATGTATGCCAGTGTAAGTATGTGTTGCAGAGAGCAATGAACTTTTAGGATTTTGCTGTTGTCTTCTGTGTTGAGTCATGAGTGCAAAAAAAAAAAAAAAATAACTAAAAAAACTACCCAACGACAGAAAAATAAATGAAAGAATTGATAAAAAAAGATGAGAAAAAACGTAAAAGAAAAAGTAAATGCAAGAAGTGACAGAAAAAGGATGCAAAAAAAAAACAAAAAGGAGAAAAATGTGGAAAAAGGCCAGAGTAAAAAGAAACAAAAAGAAAAATGAAGAGACAAAGAAAAAGACCTAACAATAAGTGTTACCCTCATTCACAAAGGAATGTCAACAAGAAGTTTTGATGACAAAAGCAACAAGAGATTTTGATTCACTGAAGCATTGAGATATGCGCTTAACATTTCTTTGACGTTAAATAGAGAAAAGGGAGAATAGTGATTGCATGGACGTGAAGGAATGAGCTGCTAAAATTATGCACACACAATATATAATGTGCACACACATATATATATATATATATATATATATATATATATATATATATATATAATATATATATAAAAGAAAGAGGTTATAGTGGTTCCAACAAGAGAAAAGTGTGTATATTAAAAAGAAGAGAGATACCGCAAACGTTTTTGGTTGTAATGTGGATTTTTTTTTTTTAAAAAATATTATACTTTATTTTCCATAACTTTACTACACGTGTTTCTGGTCTGGCAACCATCTTCAGGTAAAAGGCGACGATTTTCACATATTATTAAAAATAATTAATTTTTTTCTCCTTTGTTTTTTGATGTTAAATATTCTCGATATCAGACATTCTCTGTTTTTGTGTTAGTAGGCCGAATGTCTTTCTTGAAAATATATATATATATATATATATATATATATATATGTTCAAATTTTAAACGTTGAGCATACTTCAATTCTGTTTTTTACTTTTTTTTGTTTTTGTTTTACCTACACCACATTTGCTGCATTAAAACCCCAAATTGTTTTGTCTTATTTTAATTTTGAACTATGAATCAGTGTTCATCCATGATCATTTCTGTACATTTTTTATATAGACCAAAGCCGCATCTCTAATGTAGTGTATATATATGTATATATATATATATATATATATATATATATATATATATAAATAAAAAAGAAAAGAACAGTAAGATATAAAATCCGGTGTTCTTATAGATATTTTATTTTTTACAAAATAGTGCTCAATGTAAATTTACAGAGCATTAATATTATAAATTAATTGATTTAAAATATGGTTTTTTTTTCGCTACAGTTCCAACCATGTTTCAAAAATATTTTTGAAACATGGTTGGAACTAATATAAAAAAACTATATTTAAATCAATTAATTTATAATATATATATATACATACACATACACATTCTGTATATTTAGGTAGCATATCTTTATTCAAACTGATTTTGTTAAGTAATTTAGACATATGTTGATTAGTTTTCATTGTGATCCTTTCAATTTCACAGATTAACTTCTGCATAAGGGAAAATAACTTTTTTTTTTTTTTTTATAAAGTACTTCAACTATTTTTATTTTTTGCTTATTATTGTTTTTATGTAATATAGATGTATTTTCAACTAATAACCATCTAATCTGTGAGTGTATACATCAATGTTCCTTTAAATGTTGAGATATTTATCTATGCTCAGCCAAACGAGATGTTAGACTTTTTGTTAGCATTATCGTAGTTGATCCAATGTATGTATTGACATTTTCATCAGAGATTTAATCTCCTAAAGTACATCTAAATTTATATAGAATGTTGGCCTTTTGCAAGATGCTGGTTGGCAGAGAAGAGTTGTTTTGGATAAGTAGGTTGGTTGTATTAAATTTAGTATCGTATATAACTAATTTTATTTTTTATACTTGGATCATGAGTTTTTTAGATTTTTTTTTTTCCTCCTGTTAAATTTCCTAACAGCTTATCTAATTTGTTCATCAAATTGTTCATTGAATAAATTTACTCTTTAGTATTTCAAGGTAATTTTCTGTAATATTGGTAAATATATCTATTAAAATGAGATTTTAGTGTTATTTTCATTTTTGCATAATTAAGACAATTTATCCATCGCACCTCTTTCACACACATACACACCTATATATAGTGTATTTAGGCAGCAATCCCTCTTATATACACGTTCCATTAAAAAAAATGTCGGATAAGGTAATGTAGTTTTGCTTTTTATTTAATTTTTCCTGTGTTTGAACATATTTTCTTTTCTGGATACAGTGTGTAGAAACTTTCTAAATGTTTTGTAATTCTGAGCACTTTTAGTTATACTTTTAGCCATTACCTAGGATGAATTTTTCTTTTTTACTTTTTGTTTTAATAAATTACTTTCTTTTAATTTGATTAGAATTTTCTTAAATCAAAGTTATCAGACTCATTACATTGAGTGTGTTGTTTTTCAAAAGATTGCTTTTGCGTTCATATAATCTTATATTTAGATCCCTTGAAGTCTCTCTGATATATTTCTCATAACAATTATGACAGGTGACAGAGTAAATTTCTCTCAGCTTTAGCTCATTATTTTGTTTTGTATTAAGACTTCTATTTTTTTAATTTTTTTTTTTAATTGTTTTTTATGTTGTGTTTAGGAACATTCTTTTTAGTTGTGCTACAGTTGATGGCTAGAATATATTTTGATTTGTTGAGTTTGTCAGGAATGTACAGTTTCCTATTTTGAAATATTTTATGAGTCTTTGTTTCAATATGAAATAATTTGAGTATTGAAGGGGCTTAAAACTATTTTCAATGTATTTCTCATCTGTATAAATACTGAGTACTGCAAATTTTGAGTGATCTTAAAATCTGAAGATTATTCCAGGTTATATTTTGTTATGTTGAGAATAGAAATTTATGAGATCATTTTTTTTTGATGGACACTTAGTTTTAGGATATTGTTAATGCT